CCACCTGGCAGTTGGACTCCAGGCCCTGCAAGTTGTACTGTGGTACGAAGCCTGTCAACATTTTGCTCATGTCCTGTGACTTTGCAGGAGACTGAGATTAAGGGCAGTAGACTAATCTGGAAGAGGAAATTTCAAAGCAAACCAACACTGAAATGATAACATGGACCCTACTTGCTAGTTTTTGGTCAAGTTTATACTGAGAAACAGGAGCAAAAAGCCCACTTACGGTTTATTTTGTATTTTTTTATTTTAGGGAAGGGTCTAGGGGGTGGTCAGGGTCTCACTACTAGATCGGACTAATAGTGGTCCACCTGTTTACAGCCTCCCAAGAGCTGGGATTACAGGCACACATTACCACGCCCAGGCTCAGTTGTCTTAAGTGAGCCCTGGGGGTGGGGCTGGCATGGCAGGCCTGGGGATCAAACCCTGGCCCCTGTGCCTGCTTGCAGGCTCTTTAATCTGCTCAGCTCTTTGGCCAGCCCTCTCACTTAAGGTTCTTTCACTTTTTTCAGAAAGAAATTTCCTGCGAAGATGAAGGTGAACTTAGTTGCTGAGATCAGCATTAAAAAGAAGCCAATTCCTCAAAGAGCTTAGCATATTTTACTACAGAGAGATGCAGACCAACATTTAGAGCAGCACAATCCATAACAGCTGAATCCTGGAAGCAGCCTGTAGGCCCTCAATAGGTGAGTGGATAAAGTGTGGTATTTCTATGTCTTAGTGACTCTTCTTTCGTTGCTGGGACAAATACCCTACACGCAAAAGGAGGGAAGGAAAGGTTTATTTAGCTCACAGTTACTGGAGTTTCAGTCCGTACTCAGCTGGCTCCAAGGGGGAGTGTCACACGGCAGAGAATAACCTTTCACGGCAGCAGCAGAGGGGTGGTTCACGCAGCCTCGCTCCCCTGCTTACACTGTAATGTCAATCACCTGCCCAGGGCAGGGGCAGCACCCACGCCCACAGTAATCAATTGCAAACTCCAGAAGCCACCCCATGACTGCATGAGGCTTCAGGGGGACAGCTAGACATAAGCCATAGCATTCCCCCCTGTACCCCCAAAGACTCATGCGCATCCTTTATGCAAAAGCCACTGTAGTCCATCTCTAAGAGTTGCTGAAGTCCCAACAGAGTCATTTTTGCTGAAAGTCCAAGTCCCAAGTCTCCTCCCAGATCCAAGGTAAACTTTCAACTGTGAGCCCCTGTACAAATGAAAAGTTAGACACTTCCAGCATTCAAAGGCACAAGATAAACATTACCATTCCAAAAGGTACCAACAGCAGGATACCAAGCATTGGGACCAACACAAGTCCAAAATCCAGCAGGGCAAACATTAAATCCTATATTTCCAAGTGGAACATCTGAAGCAATCTGCTCTGGTTTGTGAGTTCCAAGTGGCTCTGCCCCGTGGCACTCTTGGTGGTAGCTCCCGTGGCATCTCTCTTAGGCCAGCTTTGCTCCCTCCTTGCAGTTTCCCTTAGATGATCCATGCTCCTGGCTTTTCCAGACTTCTGGGGTTTCCACTGAACAGGCTTCCCACTCACAGCTTCACACGCTGCCTGTCAGGGGCACACTGCCTGGCCTCCCAGGCCTTCTTCTAAAATCCAGGTGGAAGCCTTCTTAGCCTCAGAACTCCTGCACTCTGTGTGCGCCTATAACCAGCCCCACGTGGTGACACCAGGGTCTGCTGCCAGCTGGAGCAGTAGCCAGGCTTCCTTTGCTCTTGGCCGTAGGGGTCGAGGGCCTGGATCACTGAGCACTCTGACCCTGATTCTGAGGAATATATTCTTTATGCCGGCGCCATTCTGGAACCTGGTGTGGCTGCTGCTGCCATTCTGGAACAAGGGGCTGAGCGGTTTTTCCCTCAAGGCAGTCCCTGACTTTTGCAATTCTGAGGCCGCAAAGGGGTGGAGACCTTCTGCCTTCAGTGATGCCCTCAGGCCATCCTTTTGATTCTCCTGTTCTTTCCTGGCAGTGAGATACTTTCAGCTCCATCTTTGTAGTCTACAGCCTTATTGGAGCTTCCTTTCCAGCCAAACTCATGTTTTAAATCATCCTGCTGGGCTCTTTGCTCTTGAGTCTCAACATAAATTTGGTTAAAATCCCACAATAACAGCCATGCCACTGCCTCAAAATTCGGCTGCATTGAAATTTCTTTTGAAATATTAATCAGTCCCCCATGCTTAAACTCAGTCTCAGGCAAAGTCTCTGGACATGAGCAAAATTCAAACAGTTTCAACCAAGCGATAACAAATCATCTGAAGTCCAACAACCAATGCAGTCCTTCTTCCCAGCAGAAACCTCCCAGCCTGGTCTTTACAGGCAAGCTTTCCATCAGCCTTCTAAGCTCTGACTAGAATCTCCCCTACGAAAGAGCCAAAGCTGTTCCAGCTCTTTGCAAGTGGGCAACATCTTCAAATCCTTCTTATCTCTTCCCATAAGCTGTTCCCAAAGGCCTGTAATCCACATGGTCAGGTTTGGTCACAGCAATGGCCCCACTCCCGGTACCAAATTCTGTCTCAGTTACTCTTCTCTTGTTGTTGGGACAAATACCTGACACTCAAAATGAGGGAAGGAACGGTTTATCTAGCTCACAGTTACTGGCGTTTCAGTCCGTACTCAGCAGGCTCCAAGGCGGAGCAGCACAGCAGAGGGCAACCTTTCATGGTAGAAGAAAGAGCAAGAAAGCAAGGGAGGGTAGCGGCAGCTGGCTTCTCTTCCCTCCTTACATCAAAATGCAAATTACCTGCCTCAGGGCAGGGGCAGCATCCACGCCCACAATAACCAAACACAAACTCCAGAAGCCTCTCCATGACTGCATGAGGCTTTGGGGGACAGCTAGACACACACCATAACACTATATATAATGGAATCTTACTTGGCTATAAAAGACAAATTGGAGACATTTGTTCAAAAATGGATGTACCTGGACAATATAATGTTGAGGGAAATAAACCAAAACACACCAGCTTAAATACTGTGTGGCCTCTCTCATTTGAGTGAGGCAGGTTACAAACAAAGAGAATAATAAAGGACCAATAGAAGGGGACAATGAGATGAAGCTCTTGTCAGTGGGAAGGGGCTCATGAGATATAGGGGAGGGACAGAGGGGGAGGGGATGGGAGAGGGGATGGAGAAGTGAGTAGAAGAATCCTATAGAATCCTAAGAATGCAGTTACCTCCGTGAATGTAAACACTGTATGCCATAAACCTGAGCTAAGAGTAATAATAACAGGAGAGAAATTGGGGAAGGGAGAATTTGAAGAGGGGGAGGAAGAAGGGGGAAGGATGCAAAACAGAAACAGGTTATATTCTGTTCATGTACCACTCCCCAAGGTGACTGTAAACTGCTTTGCTGCAAACATCCTAGCAAAAAAGAGAAAGCACCGAACACTGTACAGCAGGATGACAAGATCCACCGAAGGCATGTGAGGAGTGGACAAGGCCTCACCCACTGCAGGATCGGAATTACAAAAATGGAAGACTTTGCTTTGAGAAGGGAGCCCTGGGACACGGTGCTCCAGGACGGCCGCCTGTGGGATTGGCTCCCCGGACCTGGCTGACAGTGCTCAGTCATCCAGGTACACGGAGACTTGTATAGTTCCAGTGGGCCTGGTGACTCTCCCAGCTGGCAGCTGACTTTGGCATTGTCCCTGTGGTTCTCTTCTTCACAGGCATGAAGCATGCAAGAACTGTGAGGCCAGGAAAGCTTCCACCCAGATTTCAAAAGAAGGGCCTGGGGCCAGGACTATGCCCTGGATGGCAGGGAGTGAGGCTGAAAACACAGAGGAGGCCCCGTAGGTTTGGAGAAGCCAAGAGTGCGGCACATCTGCTGAAGAGGGCTGCAGACGTGAGCAAGCCAGCTCAAAGGAGAAGCAGGGAGTTACAGCCACCGGCAGTGCCTGAGGAATGGCATCACCTGCACCCACTGGAGCCCACCTCCCGTCCCTCGCCACAGCTTGCCCCAGGTGCTGGGCTTGGAGCTAAGGGTGTCATGTTCGCCTTGCTATGCTTGGATCTTGCTTTGGTCCCATCGGTTTCTATCCTTCTGTTCTTCCTTTTTGGCATGAGACCTTGTACCCTAGGGCTTCGTGTGCTGCAGCATTCGACTTGTGATGTTTACAGGGGTTCACAACTACACAGGTGCCTTAGGCCTCAGGGGAGTTTTCAGCAGTGCTAAAACTGGTAAGGCTTTGCCCCTCACGGGTAAACTTGACACCTTATACATAACGAGATGCGCCGGCACCCTGCGGAGGGCAGGGACAGAGCATCATGGCGCTTATCTAGACGTTCTCAAGAGCCCTGCATTGTCACACATGGGGCATCAGGGAGGTGACCGGACTGCAGGGGCATCGTAGCTTGCTAGGAAGAGGTGCAGTCCGCTCAGGAGAGGTGGACACTGCGGGCAGGACTTAGGAAGGTGTCTCTCTCGCCTGGCTCCTCCCTCGATTCTCTCTGCTTCTCCTCCATCAAGACACGAGCAACTTCTCCATGTACCCTCTGTCACGCCATTTCTTCCTTAGAGCAAGCTGACTAGGGGTTGAAACGTGAGCCAAAGCAAACCTCTTCTCCCTTCGGCAGCCGGTGTTGGGTATTGTGCCTCACAGACAAGAAAGCAGCTAAGGGGCTCTGATGCTTCGTTTTCAGCTCCAAGAAGGCACAGATGAGGTCCTAAGTAGAGGGGCTTTGCCCATCTCTGTCCATTTGATATGTGTTGGCAATAATGAAAACCCACTGGGTAACCCACTGGGGTGCCGAAGGCCCAGAATGATGTGGGTGGACACCGGGGCACATTGGACACCACACATTGGACAAATGTCCTTTCCCGGCCGAGGACGAGGATACTAGGAGGCAAAACGACTTCTTGCAAGAACAAAGAAATCTTTGCTTATTGCTTGTTGAGTCCCATTTCCCTGCAGTTATATTTGGAAAACAAGAAATTCTTTCAGCCGTTTCCAAAAATAGCTCTGATAGTGGTATGAGGCATTTACGGAAGGTCAGAGTCATCTCAAAGGGCAGAGGCTGAGAAGCGCTTCGCTGTTGCGGTGATCCAGGCCCATGCACGCCACTTCTTCATCGAAATCCCACCGGCCGCTCTTGCCCGGCAGCGGGTACTGCTGGTGAGGGTGAGAGGCATATGTGAGCAGGAAGGGGTCTTCCTGGGGGCCTGGGTATGGGAGGGAAGGCACGTAGCTGGTGAAATCCATGGGGATCTTCTCCTCATACACATCACCTCCTGGATTGGGCCACAAAGGGTGACAGCCGGGTTTGGGTGCAGGTGGCTCCAGGGGAATCTGCTGGGGCAAGGGCTCCAAAGAGTTCTGGGAAGGGAAGAAGTCGCAAGGCCAGTTGGTCAGAGGGAAAGGATAACTGGGACAGCAGGGCTCATTCAGAGAATTTCTCCCCAAAGCAGAGTTTTTACTCCACGTTTGCAGCTCGTCATAATCTGAGTAGACTCCATGTGCCGGAGGCTGAAACAGGTCGCTGCTGTGGATCCGACCATCGGACAGCTTGCATTTTTCATAGAGCTTGGTGGAGTCCAGCGTGGACGGCAGGCTCGCCAGATCTGTGGTGTCCACGGGACCTGCCGGTGCATAGCTCTTGGGGAAAGGCAGGCAATCATTCAGCGCATTCGGCTGGGGAGCGTTAGCCATTAAGTGTCCACTGTGACTAGCAGGCAAGTGGACGCCTTCCTGGAATGACCAAGTTAAAGGTAAACTTCCTTGATTTGGCTTTTTACTTGGAGGAGACTGGAAAAGAAAGTGAAATGCTCCCGTTAATAAGTTAGGCAGCCTGCGCAACTGCACAGACCCCACGTTACTCCGCTCTGCGCCAGGAAGAGCCCCCGGACTTTCCTCATTCCTGGCATTCTTGAGACCAGCTGCCTCGCCCCGCCCCCCACAGCCTTGGGAGAAGAGAAGCCGAGGCCACCCCCCTCAAGGCTCTCTCCCCGCCAGCACGCAGATGTACACCCGACATCCTAGCTCCTTGCTGAGGAACTCTGAGGGAGCACTTTGTGAAAAGCCAAACTACAGCTTCAGATATTTGTATTGTACTCAGGACAAATCCCAGGGAGCTTCTCCTCTCCCGTTTCTCTCCCTCCCTTCCTCCCCTCCTCTCCCTCTCCCCAGCCCTCTTTCCCTCCTTTTTCTGTTTTTTCAATATTGGTTGGAGTCTGAAAAATCAGGGGATTTTTTCTTCTTATTAGAATTCTCTCTGAACTTTTGGGAAGTTTGTTGACTCATAAGACCACGTAGAACATGAGTGGTCCACGTATTGTGGTGCCTCTGTTCACAAGCTCAGTTTGTACTATGATTTTAGAAAAGACGGCCACATTCATGTTTGCGCAGGAAATGGCCACAGCCGTGTCTGTGACTCAATGCAGAGTTTGAGAACAAAAACAATTTTTTTTCTTTGCCAAATGCTTGTTTGCAAATCAAATTGTTTGCATATAAAAGAGTTCATGAACCAAGGTCCCATTGTACTTTTATAAATGGAGGAAGTACTAGTCTCCAGTTATTGGAAGAAAAAGAATCTAGTAGAGAATTACATTGTGCTCTTGCTTATGTTAACACTGGCTAATAAGGGAGCAGTTCTGAGGGGGAGAGAAAGAGCTGTGCTGAGTAGTGGGGATGAGCCTGAAGACAAGAGCCGCCCACGCTGGGTTGGCAGCTCGGGTTGCCTTACAAGCCGCTCGCTCCGTCCAGGCGCGTTCTGTCAGGCACCTTGGGAGCAGCGGGAGTGGGCCAGCTCGGGCTCTGTTCTAAAAGGAATCGCGGGGCTCTGCAGCGTAGGAACATCCACCACCACCAAGCAAGCAAACCCGCAGCCTGCCCAGAGGCCCACGGGGCTTCACACCAGCGGTCGGCAGAGCACCACCGCAGGCTGGAGTCACCACCGGGCACCACCATCCCTCGCAGGGCTGTTTATTTCATCCTGGTCCACGACCTAAGACAACAATCCCTTTTGGAGATGTATAGAAATTTTGCTGCAGAAGAAAACCACAAAGCTACTGAGCAGAGCATTTCAACTAACTTGGTTTCTGTTAGAATCAAAATGTAGAATCCCAAACAGAGACGGGGTCCTAGTTCCAGCTTCTCTTTTTGAGCTACAGTAGGGGAGATGGTTCTCCAGTGGGGCAGAACTGACGGTCAGGAGCATGCCACAAAGACAGCATGAATTCAGGATCAGACCTCAGATCCAGGGCTGCTTTCGTCTGCTGCTGCAGGACCTGGGCGACCCACCAGCCCTGCGTCGGGGGCAGGCCACTGCCTGTCCTAAGCACACGGGGTGAGCTTACCTTGGTCTCGGGGCTTCCTTTCCGCTTTAAGGAGCTGGAGGAAGATGCCCCAGGCACCTTCTTCACTGCTCTTCGGGCCTCAGCCTCGAGCTTGGTCTCTGGCTTTGGGTGATCATGCTGTCCCTTTGACTGAAGGGAGGCAAACAGGAAACACAGTGAGCGACCAGTTGCCCTCATGCGGGCACAGCCGCCCGGTGTGACAGGGTGAGAGAGACCTTAGACGCCTGTCCCAAGCCACCTGCTCCTACCTGCGGCCTGCCTGTCCCAGGCTCCTTCAGGTGTGCCCCCATCTGCCCTGCTTCCTGATACACAGGTAGGACATTGATAAGCCTGCGCCTGATGCAGCCTTCAGGGCCATGCTGTTATCACTGCCCTGCTTATGGGACAGGACCCTGAGGCAAGGAGAGGTGACACCACCCGGCCACCTGCCCAAGGAATTGGGGGCCTGAGGCCCCCACTGGAGCTGGCCACGCTGAGCACAGTCTTGGGGGTGGACTGTCTAACATTCTGGCAGAGTGAAACGGGCCACAGCAGGAGTCATTAGAGCACAGAAGTCAGCCAATGCTCCCAGCCAGGCCTCTTCCTTTTCTCGGAGAGCTGGTTGGCCAGTACCGTCGTGACTCAAAGCCAGGCACCCCACATCAGAGAGCCCCCTTCACAGGAGTTCATGCCACCTCCCCAGCAGTACACCTCACATTCCACAGAAACGGGCTTCAGGGACGAAAGCGAGTTGTTCAAGTCACAGCTGAGGTCTGTGCAATGCTCGCCTGTAACTGTGGCACTGGGGAGGCCGAGGCAGGAGGAGTGCAAAAGTGTGAGCCCAGCTGGGCAGCTCCGAGGCTCCACAAGGCTCTGTCCCAAAACTTATTTTAGAAGACCTGGGGTTTAATACCCAGGACTGCCAAAAGTAAAAAATGTAAAAACTAGTAAGTGTAAATGTTAAACATGGGGGCTGGTGAGATGGCTCAGTGGTCTAAAGCGCCTACTTAGAACAAGCTTAGCAAAGCACAGGGACCGCGGTTCAATCCCCAGCACCACATGCCAGCCAGCCCTGCCCCCTGGTGGGCTGAGCTGGCCACACACACCCACACCCCCCCCACACACAAATAAATAAATAAAATTAAATAAATAAATGTTAAACATGTAGCCAGTGTGAAGGCCCGTGTTCAATCCCCAGGTCTACCAAGAAGGGGAAAACAGTGAGAGCTGGGGGGGCGGGGCCTTGCCCCAGGGCACGGCAGCAGGGTGGGCGCGTGCGTCCCGCATCCCTCCAGGCCTACGCCGTACACTCTGTAGGAATCTCTGTGGACACTTTTCAGGGCAGAGAGAAGCACAGACCCGTAAATAACTCAGACCCAACCTGGAAAAATATGAAGCGTCCGTCATGCCGCCAGAAGTTGGTGACCGGGAAGCCGCCATGGCCTCGGCAGGGGACCAGCTTCAGAGGCCCATTGCAGTTGGGACAGCTCTTCCCTGTGGAGGGGCAACAGAGTGACCATGCAGGCCTGCCCGTGGGCTGTCGGGCTGAGCCCCGAGCCCACGAGAAGTAGTCGGCCACGGTGGCCTCGCCCAGGTGAAGAGGCCTGGCCTCCGTGCCACCCGGCCTCCCACGGGGACACAGCCGGCAGCACCTCCCTCGCACGGGGGCACTTCCCAGGGTGACGGGGAGCTCTTCTGAGCAGAAAACCTGTCCCACTCACTGACTGCTATTTAAATTCTTTGTAGAGAAGAGGAAAGCCTTATTTCATCTTTCAATTAGAATTAAGGGGTAAGGGGCAAAGCCACACAGGAGAGCGGGTCAGTCGCTGAGGCTTCAAGAAGGTGGAGGTACTTCTCGCAGTGCTGAGCGGAGGGCAGCGCCAGTTCTGAACACAAATAACTGGGAAAGAGCATGCAGCCACCGAGGCCTGGAGGGGTCTGGGCCGGGAATAGAGCAGCATCTACCTCTCGGCTGTGAGTGCACCGCGCGGGGAAGCAGAAGGAAGAGCCCCGACCCGCGGGAAGCTTGGCCGCCAGAACTGGCTGACCTCCCGCCGGCCGCACCGCTGCGCCGCGCGCAGGCTGGCCGACCGCTTTCTCCTAGAGCACGTGGCCGCTCCCCAGGGGACGCAGACGCTTCTCTCTGGCAGGGGCCGGGGCTGCTCTCTCTCTGAGCTGCAGGGCGCTGCTCAGGCCCAGCTCGGACACAGCGGCCCCGAGGCAGACGCCGGCGGCCCCTCAGCTCTCAAAGCCGGCACAGCCTGCCTGCCACGAGCCAGGGCAGGGCGAGGCGGGGTGGGCCTCGGGACGCGTCGGGCGCCACTCACGCTGCTGCTTCTGCCGGGCCTTGTCGCAGATGGCGGGCCGCAGGTAGATCTTGCGCCCGTCCTTGGTGGAGCAGTCGCGGCCGCAGACCACCACGCCCAGGCAGGACTTCTTGAGGATGCGCGAGTTGTGGTTGTTGGTGTTGCGCATGGCCCAGCTGCTCAGGTGGCGCTGCGCGCTGCGGTCCTCCGAGCTGTAGACGTGCCTCACGTAGGCGTCGGGCCACTCCTGGAACCAGTCGGTCTTCTTCACGTTCTGGCAGAAACACAAAGCGCTCACAGGTTGGCGCCGGAAAGCTCAGCTGCCACAGCCGCAGGTCAGCAGGGGCAGGAATGCACCCCTCTGAGTTTAGGTGACGGAGCTTTCTCCAGCCCCTGCTGATGAACATGATGACCATTTCTCAGGAGGACCTTCTGAGGGTGGAGGAACAGCACCGTGCTCTCGCACAGTAACTGAGGATGCTGGCAGGACAGAAAGATAACGCCTTATTCGGAACCCTGTGGGCCGGGGCAAAGCCACCAGAGCTGCGCAGTGAAGAGCCTGGGAGCCCAGGACCAGAAAGGTCCCGAGGGCTGCCTTCTCCTCTGTGAACAAAGAGCCTCTGCCTTTGCTCTCTGTCCCTTCCACCTGCATCACATGGGACAGAGACTGGGGAAGAGCTGCTGTGCCCTGTGAGGACTGGCATCACTCTCCGCCCACTACGTGCCCTCACCCTCCAGCCACGGTCAGAGGCAAGGGGAGCTGTTCGCCGGGGAAGAGGCTCAGTTTTGCAGGGTAATGGGCCCTAGAGGCCGGCTGCACACTGGCACGCGCATATTCACCCGATGGGACCGAACACTTCAAACTACTTAAGAGGGTGGATTTTATGCTCTGATTTTGCCAGAGAGATACAATGACAAAGGCCAGGGACACAGTTCTGATGACACAACGTACATTGTTTGCTCTGCCTTCTGTTGCTTTATTTGCAAGACAAGGCTAATAATGCTGTCCTACTTCAAGGGCAGGCTGTGTGAGGCACACCTGCTGACACTCGGTGTTCTGCAGGCTCTAGGCATGTGTCAGTCACTGGCGGTATGGCCCATGTTCCCAGGCCAGCCGCAGAGGCCACCTTTGGCAGACCCCGCCTCGTTCGCAGAAAGAGCACCGCCAAATGGCCTCGGCACCCCGAGTGGCACACTGCCAAGCCTCATGGCTTTCAGGGGTCTGCACTAATATGAGAGCACTTTTCATGCACAAGAGTCTAGGTCAGAGCAGGGGGCTCCAGAAGGCCCAGAAGGACGCCTCTCCTTTGCGTCCCCAACAAGAAAGCACGGCACCGAACGTGAGGACAGAAAGACCAACTCTAGAAGGGAAAACATAAACGTCAAGGTGAACGGGCATATACCGAGTTAGACTTCTGGTTTGGAGCCTGCCAAAGAATACGAAGTTACCCAAGAAGAGTAGGGGGAAGGTGTAGTGAAGGATGATCAAAACACATAATGCATATTTAAAGTAAAAATGCATCGGGCCGGGGAGATGGCTCAGCGGAATAAGCGCTTGCCTGGCAAGCACAAGGGCCTGAGTGCAATCCCTGGTTCCGCAAAAAAAAAAAAATCACAATAAAAGACACCGCCACTGGCACTCCTCAACGCCACGCACCGTAGCTTCAGACACACGCCCCCATCACGCTTGCCACATGCCGCGGCAGTTCTGGACGTTGCCTTTCCTGAGTGTCTTTACTTGTGCTGCTTTTGCTGCCTTGAGGTCCCGAATCCGTTCAGGACATTGGCCTTTGGTGACCACTTTGGCTTTGGGGAAGAGCCGGCAGTTAATGGTGCCAGAGCCAGTGACAGCAGTGGACGAGGGCACAGGGTCGGCTCTTAGGCACTCCCTCCCTGTGGCCCACACGCAGCAGCAGCACCTCAAGACCTCATAGAGCAGGATTTCCAGAGCTGTTGCCACACAGTGAGGCTGCGGGGTCCTGCCAGAGGGAAAGGTACGCAGGGGAACTACAGGCGATGTGCCTTTTACCCAAAGAATCTTTTCTAGCTTAGGCATTCACCGTGTTTTCTGATTATACCCCGTGAATCAAGAGCGAGGTGCATGGGACAGCTGCAGTCCCTGCTGTGAGGACTGGGACTGATCAGACCCTGAGGTAGCCCGGCCTCCTGCTGCTCTGCCCGCCTTCTCCTCGGTTCTTCTTGGTAAAAGCTAAGCCAAAGCCTCTCATGGCCTCTCACAGAAAGGCCACAGAGTACATTATGATAATAAAAATGCTACCTAGAACATTACAATGTTTTATAATCTGGATTATAGAGATCTGGGAGATTTGAATTATTTGAATTATTCCAATATGATGGAAGGTTTTTGTTTTTGGCCTTTTGAGACAAGGTCTGGACGTACAGTTCAGGCTGGCCTGGAGCTCTCCGGGTAGCCCAGGCTGACCCAAGCTCAGCAATCCTCCTGCCTCAGCCTCCTGAGCCCTGGGATGATAGGTGTGCACCTACGGTGCACAGCTGTCAGGGCAGCAGAGGGAGCAAGCAGAGCTTCGAGAAGAGCTGGGCTGTTCAGCTCTTTTAAAGTTCATATCAGGGCTTGAGGAGATAGCTCGGCGGCATAAGCGCCTGCCTGGCAAGCGCAAGGACCCGAGTTTGATCCCTGGCACCTCATGCTGTGCCAGCCCTAGAACCCCAGGTGACAGGAGGATCGCTGTGAGTTTGAGACCAGCCTGGGGGCTACAAAAGTGAGTACAGGGTCAGCTGGAACTGCATAGTGAGAACCTGTCTCAAAATAAATAAGTAAATAAATAAAGTGCATGTTAGCTGTAATGAGTGCTTACCAGTTATACAAAAAATAGGCTCCACTGTGGCGTATGTGCACATGCTTAAAACATCCTCTTCTCCCGTACCACCCTCTCCCCCTTCTCCTCCTCTCGTCCCTCTTCTTTCTCTCTAATAATCTCCCTCCTACTTTCCTATCATCCCTCTTCTTTTTTCCTCCTTTCTGACTCTACATATAAGAGAAAACACATAATATTTGGCTTATTCTGAATATTTTTAAGATTTAAAGGTGAACATCCCCTTCAGCCTGGCCAGGGCCTGAACCTGCATGCCATAGGAGGGGAGCAGGCTGCCTGCAAAGGCGTCGAAATGTTTGGGCAGACTCTGAGCCTGTCAAAGAAGAAATGATCCCCAATATCCTGCAGCTGTCTCTTTTCATTCTAGTTGTTATGTGAGTACAACAGTGCTGAGTATAGAAGCACTGAGTGAGTGTGGCAGTGCTGGGTGTGGAAACGCTGAGTGTGGAAATGCTGAATGTGGCAGTCCTGAGTGTGGCAGTCCTGAGTGAGGCAGTGCTGAGTGTGGAAACATTGAGTGAGTGTGGCAATGCTGGATGTGGAAGTGTTGAGTGTGGCAGTCCTGAGTGTGGAAGTGTTGAGTATGGCAGTGCTGGGTGTGGCAGTCCTGAGTGTGGCAGCGCTAAGTGTGGAAGCATTTGCACCAAGAAAATCGCTGAGAGTAACTGCTATTCCATGATACTGTTTTCCTCGATGTTGAATTTGCACCCACCCTCCTGACTTCCCACTTAGTGGGATCCTTCACATCTTCTTAAATAGAAATGAAGAGAAGATCCAGATCACAGTAATATAAAGGACTCTGGTGTCAAGGGGCCAATAATAATCTGAGAGTCCTTCTAATTTAAAGCATCAGAAAGGTAAAGTTCAAAAAGAAAGAACAATCATTTCCTAATCTTGTTTAGTGAATCCCTATAACATATCTTCTTCTTTTCAGAACCTTTTTCCCCTCCTGGTACAAGGGCCTGAGTTCAATCTCCGGTTCCACCAAAAAAAAAAAAAAAAAAAAAAAAAAAAATCTTTTTTTTAAATTTTAGGACAGAGTGTACAGGGTCTCACTATGTAGATCAGACTCTAGTGATTCTCCTGTTTACAGCCTCCCAAGTACTGGAATTACAGGCACGTGCTACCATGCCCAGTCTCAGCTGCACCGCGGTCCCAGGAATCGAACTCTCAGCCCCTGCATCTGCCTAAGCAGGTGCTTTAATCTGCTGAGCTATTTGGTTGGCCCTCAGAACCTTTGTTTATTTTAATTTCTAACTTTTTATGAGTAACTTTTTGCTTTTCTTCCTGGTTAAGAAGTTTATAATTTCTATGGCATCTGTGTATAATTGTTAAGTAGGGTACTCACTCCTCTAAGCTACTCAAAACCTTTGAATTGTTCTGCAGTCATAGAGCATGCTTCTACTTCATTTGAGTTAACTTAATCACTTGAAGTTTAATGGGCTGTAGTAAGAATTTGAGGTGACTACTATATAAAACTAATCAATTGAAATCAAATTCTGCAAGTATCAAAAATATCTACATTGTTATTGCATTAAAATTGATTTCATCTGTAATGTGGTCTGTTCTCCTGTAAAGCAATTATCTGTGAGGCTTTCTTTAATTACAGGAGTGGCTTATTAATTCCTTATAATAAGTATTTCAAATAGAACAAAGACAGCAAACAAACATACCTTAAGTAAATCAGAGGCTGGGGAAAGGAGATGCTACTTACGGAAACCAGAAAAGAAATCCAGCCCATGTTTTGCGCTACACAAAACTGACAGAATGGCTCTCTTGGGCCAGTCGGAAGCTGAACTCCAACTGCCCTGAAGGAGGAAGTTTCCTTGGACCGGCTGTGCTTGCATCGGCTCAGGAATGGCTCCCTAGACCAATCCTGCTGTTCCTCCCTGGGTGGAGGGGCTGGGACTTGGGACAAAGCTCCTTCTTCGTTGTAGATGCACTAACCCAGGCCCAGCTTCCCGTGTCCCACTCTGCCCACCTAGGATGAGACCTGCTGGGGACACCAGAAGAACCCTGCTGCCATCAGCCCACAGGCCCTGGGCAGCAGGAGAATCGCTCCCCTGCAGCAAGGCGCCCCTCTCTGTGGAGCTGTCTCTGAGTTCAAGTGACCTTGAAGCACAGGAGAGAGCCCTAGGGAAAGAGGGTGACGCCGTGCTGTCCCATCTTGGACCAGAAATATGGCCTGATTACGCAATCTGATAATAATTGACAAGAACTCCAGAGTCTAATTTACCTTTAGCTCCCTAGTGCCATGACACATCTGGTGACAGCTGGTGTCTTCTGATGACACATAGCCGCCTGAATTCATAGGAAGAGCTCACGCTGGCCCACCCCAGCTCATCTCTGGTAGAAGCAGAGGATGTTGTTTTGTCAGCTAAAACCATGCTCTGGGAATGAACTAATCCAAGCTGTGTCCCTTTTGTGCCTGAGTCTCCTGTTTTGCTCCAGAGAAGATTTTCTCTACAAAAAAGATGTCCTTGGGGGCCAGGGAGATGGTTCAGTAAAATAAGCACTTACTTGGCAAGCACAAGGGCCTGAGTTCAATCCCCAGTTCCACAAAAGAGAGAGAGAGAGAGAGAGAGAGAGAGAGAGAGAGAGAGAGAGAGAGATCCTTAAACCTTGTGTAAGTGGCTCAGGGGCTTTGGTCCTAGGCTTCACTGAAAAGTGCTCAGTGTTTAAGAACAAAATGATCCAGGTGTGTGCCAGGCGTGGTGGTACTGAAGCAGCCCTCCTCCCTCTGGGAAGAGTGGGCCTGAGCTAGAGATGAAGAGATTGCTCCCATCTCTCTCTGAAATGGGTGCTACTAAGAACAGTGTGCCCTGAGTTATTCCTCAGTTTTGGAGGGAGGGGAGCAGGGAGGGAGAGAGAGAGGAATCACAAGTCTCTCTCCTAAGTACTAGAATCCGTACTGATGTGGCTGTGACACTCTTTGGCACCACATCCTCCACATTTTTAAGGAAGGTAAGACTAAACCCACACAGATTTTTGCTGCTTGGACCAAGCAAACGCTAATGCTTCTACACATGACCTTTCCAGGCACAGATACAGCTTCTGGGGAGTAGAGAGGCAAGCCCAGCTGGCGGAGCACATTCGCCTGAAGTGGAGACCCTTCCCCGGGGACGTGGAGAGGCAGTGCCTGTGCCTCTGGCCCCCAGCGATCCCGTGAGGGAGGTGTGGGATCGGGACAGGAGGGTCAGAAGCAAGGCCAACAGCGGCAGGGCCACGCGCCCCGCAGTGCGGGGGGGACGGAATGCGGGAGGCAGAGTTCGGGGCCCTGGAACCCGGCCTTGCTGCTTCCCGCTTCCTGTTCCTACCCTGCAGCCCGCAGTCCCCATGACAGAGTCCTCTCGCCGCAGTGGCTGCCCGCCTCCCTGCCCACTCCTATGTGGAGAGCCCTCAGGAGTAGCCACCCCAAGCCTTCAGGCCCTGAGGCCCTTTCCCTGGTTGACAAGGCCAAGCACAGTGCCACACGCCACGCCGTGCTGCCGAGGACATTTCTGCTCACTGCTGTCGACAGCTAATCCAGCTGTGCATCTCATGCATCTGAGATGTGCCTTCTCAGGACCAGATTATCACTGTTTGGGTAACCATTTCCCCCAAATTGTCACCGACTGATTCAAACTTGAAGCGTGTACGTGCCGGACACTGCACTCAGCACGGCGCTGGCGTCTAGAGCCCGGCCTACCAGCTCCAGAGGGCCAGGAGGCTGCATGCACCCGTCATTCTCAGAAGAGCGGGGGGCTCTTTCGGTTCCTGGGTGCTGAGCTCCGTGCCACATCTACCGCTCACCTGTCTCCCAGGACAAACCCTGCCATTCCAAAGGCTGCTCGAGGCCTTTGCCTTCTCGTTCTCACTGGTTCCTGACAGGCCTCCAGAGCTGGCTGGAGGATGCTGTCCCTAGTGCCACACATGGCAGTGCGCACTCATAATCCCAGCCCTCTTGGGGCTGAGGCAGGAAAACAGCTGGCTGGAGCTTGGCCTGGGCAGCTTAGCAAGACCTGTGTCAAACAGTGTAATGGCGCCTGACATCCCAGCACTTGGGAGGCTGAGGCAGGACGATCACTGCGAGTTTGAGGCCAGCCTGGGCTACATAATGAGTTCGTTGCCAGCTTGAACTACATAGCGAGATCCCATCTCCAATAGGAAACACAAGGGGCTACGGAGATGGCTCAGTGGAATAAACGCTTCCCTGGCAAGCGCAAGGGCCTGAGTTCAATCCCTGGTTCTGAAAAAAAAAAAAAAAAAAAGCCCTGGCTCAAATTAAAAGTTAGAAAAGGGTTAGTGATGTAGCTCAGTGTCAAGGCCCTGAGTTCAATTTGCAGTGCCACCAAATAAGAAAAAGGAAAAATAAGTAGGGGAAATTTCTATTTTTAGTCATTTCTCTGATACAGTTAACAAGCTGAAGGGCACCTAGCTAGCTCTCTGATACTCTTGCTGTCTTTTCTATAAACCATAAATGATACATTTCCAAAATGTATATCAGAACATGCATTTTTTGCTATAAATTTCTCAGTTTAGTGACTTGTGCGGCTGAAATGTCTTTGGTTTTTTTTTTTTTTTATTTGTGTGTGTGGCCAGCTCAGCCCACCAGGGGGCGGGCTGGCTGGCATGTGGTGCTGGGGGATTGAACCGCGGTCCCTGTGCTTTGCTAAGCTTGTTCTAAGTAGGTGCTTTAGACCACTGAGCCATCTCACCAGCCCATGCCTTTGGTTTTGAAAGCGCAAGTCAGAACGGGAGCTCGGAGGAGTCCTGACTTTCCCTCGGGCGGCAGCTCTGCCCTTCTTTTGTTTTGGATCTGATGACTGATAGGGCTCCTCTGTTCTGGAGGAAAGAGTGCGCGGAGCTCACCGCCCGCTGTTTCAAAGGGCTCTTGGGCTGCACCAAAATGCTGCTCTAAACTGTGACATTGTGACATCTGCTATGTATCTGTAACTTCACCTTGTGGCTTGCGAATGGCCAGCTCTTATTTGGGGTGAGAGTTTGCCATCTTGAAGTCAGGCGTTGGCAGGAATTTGGTCTCTGAGTCTCGAATAATTAAAATGCACTTCAAAACTCCCCAAAGCAGCTTCAATAATTTTTACTACCAATGCAAAAAAACTACCAACAAAAATTCCTGGAGCTGTCTTTCCATCACATCTCTATGATTTATTTAACCACTTTTAAGTAATGGAGAGTGGGGTACATGTTCGGGCCACCGCGCCCCAGGACCTAGCAGGGGAGGTTACTGGGGGAACTTCCGAACGAGAACAAAAAGAAGATCTTCGTCAGGGTGGTAGGCTGGGCTTGTTTTAAACCAAGTCTGTACTCTCCATCCTTTCTCCCCTGCTCGGGATGCTTCAAACTCCCGGTCCCTGAAGCAGGCTGGGCAGAGGGGCCTCCGTGTCAGTTGGCTAGTGACGGCTAACCCTAGTCTGTCCCATCACAATTCCAAACAACTTCCATTAAAAAACATCTTCAAGTGCCAAGAAAGAGGATCAAGAGCCGGAAAACTACACATGGAAAACCAGTGTTAGGCAACCAGCGCCTTAAATTAAATTAAGAGTTAAAAGAGTCACTGGGCACGTCATTGCATGACTGTAATCCTAGCTATTCAGCAGGCTGAGGCAGGAAAATCACAAGTTTGAGGCGAGCCTGGGCAGTTTAGCAAGAGCCCGTCTCAAATAACAAAAAGGGCTGGGAGTATATAGCTCACTGGTACATTACTTACCTAACAAGCCTGAGGTTTAATCCCTAGTACTAGAAAAAAAGTGGGGAGAGAAAAGAAAGAAAAAAAAAAGAAAGAAAGAAAAAGAGCTAAAGAGTCAATTGTCAAAGAATAGGGCCAGGAGAATATGGAATGAATGATGCTCCCCACCTGGAAATGAAACCAGCATGTGTGTATGGTATTGATAGCCGTTTTGCAAGTCCTGGGCATTTCAGATAGAGCTTAATTTAAAATAAGGTAGCAAATAAGGTAGTACAAGGGCTTATGGGTAATTTATTTTTTGAGACAGGGTCTCGTGAGGTAGTTCAAGCTGTCCTTGAACTCACTATGTGGTTAGGCTGGCCTCAAATTCAGGCAATCCTCCTGCCTCAGCCTTCTGAGTGCTGGGATGACAGGTGTTAATGAAAAGTCAATCACAGTCAAATACAGTCCCGGGTTTTCTCATGGCAGAGAGGCTGGGCCCTGCCAGCTTGGAAAGAGGAGGGGGCCGCATTGCCTTTGCTCATCTAGACAGCAGGATAAGCGCTGCTTGAGGCACGGGATTCGTGTTCCCCTTCAAATCCAACGGGACCCTGGGCTAAGCCCGGGAGCGCCCAGCTACAGCCCTGCCCCGTCTCCGAGTGCCAGCAGGGAGGGCCAGGGCCACACAGCCCTCGGCAGCACATACCTGGGGCAGCTTCATGTCGTTAATGTCCCAGCTCAGCAGCTCTTTGTTGTCAGAGTCGAAGTCTCTGGGCTCCATGGTGAGGCCGGTCACCGCGGTCACCGCAGGCTCTCGCGCTCCACCTGGGAGCTCTTCTCTCCGAGGTTCAGGGTATCAGAGAATCGGTCCTCTCGACAGTTCAGGCCTGAAGACTGGCTAAAAAGAGCTAAGTGATAGCAGCACTGGCCACTTCAGAGATTAACATCAGGCCTTTCTGCCAGGGCTCGGCCTCACTGAGGTTTCTGCAAGTACCAGCGCATTAATAAAGAAGGGCCAGGGAGGCCGGCAGCCCCAGGGAGTCCGAGCAGGGAGATTCCTGCCACTGCCCCGAGGTCTGCGCCTGTCACTGCTGTCCCCAGGTTAGGAACGCCTTTGTCGAAACTGCTGTTATCTGTGACCAATGGGTGGGACCTTCTTCAGGAGAAGAAGAATTGGCTTGGACTTGTTCCTCAGAACACGTCTTTGCACACTGGCTAACGTCGCCGCAGTGTCAAGGGGGAGCACCGCACTGGCTCGGCTAGGAGTCTACTCACCCCAGCGCACGGGGTCTGCGCTGGCGTCGCCACGCACCCTGCGCAGTCCCAAATGCCACCCAAAGGACCCAGTGCCGTCCTGTCTCTCCCGAACGGGGCTGTGTCACCTCGGCACTGCCGACTTTCCCCACCAGCAAGTCTTTGTCAGGGGAGCCTCGGCGCTGGAGACCCGAGCCCAGCCGGCCTCCTGGGCTCTTCCCTCAGGGCAGGGGCGCGGGCTGATCCCCGAGCACTCACTGCTGTGACAAACAGCAGGATGTCCAGACACATGTCCACAGGGTGGAGCAAAGGCTGCGCCTTTGGGAGCTGCTGTACACCAGTGCTTCGCCACCTTTCGTTTACCCCAAAGCCTCCTTTACGCTTTTTCTGAGCTTAAGTTTAGTAATAACCCTGCCTCGCCTCCCAAGGACGTTCCATCTCATTTATATGATTAAATTGCATTATGTAAATGACATTAAAAAATGTTCAAACTGTATTTATTCCAACTTTTAACTCTAACTAAATAAAGAGGATTTAGGAGGGAAGAAGAAAGAAAAGACGTTTCAAATATTTCTCTGATAGAAAAATGAATATTTTACAGATTGCTGTGGAGCCAGGCACAGTGGTGTGGGCCTGGAGCCCCAGCCTGCAATCCCACGGGCTTGTACGCAGTGACTGTCAGTTTGAGGCCAGCCTGGGCAGCTCAGCAACACTCTGCCTCAGAAGAAAAACTGCAAAGGGCTAACGAGGTGGCTCAATGGTGATGTCTCTGGATGCAAAATAAGGACTGTTAAAAATAAAAAGGAGCAGCACATGGTGGCATGTGTCATGTTTCGCTCCCGTGCTGGGACTCCTAGGCACAGGGTGGGATGGTGTCGGGCGCAGGTGCATGACAGAGACCACCCCCACGGCGGCAGTCAGGCCTGCACGAGCCCTGCAAGCGCTGCTCTGCAGCTCTGCAGCTCTGCACCTGTACTTAGTCCTAACATTTCCCCATCACTGAGTGGGGGGAGGTGGGGCCCAAGCCACCAGATTAGCTGGACTGTCCCCTCTGTCCCACTCTTACACCTTCAAACACAAGGCAATGCGAGCCCTGCTCCTCACTTCACACACGAACCTTCAAGGTCAGCCCCCGAGGGGTTTTGTCTCCCCACTTGCCTGCTTTCTGCAGGGTGGAGATCTAGCCTAGGCCTGGCCTGCGTTGGGTGAGGGCTCACCCCAAGTGTGGCCTCAGCTCAAGTCTTAGTTTTAAGTGAAATTCTATGTTTGGGAAATAAACATTGAGTATCCAAAGACATGGTTGGATTTCAGGTGGGTCTTCTTTTCTGTTTTTTCTTCCTTTTCTCCAATGCTGGGTATAAAAATAAGGGCTGTTCTGCCACTGAACTATCCCTTCTCCTTTGTTGTTTGAGACGAGGTCTTCATGCACGACCCAGGCTGACCTGAAACTGTAGTCCTGCAGCAGCCTCCAGAGCAGGGGGGATTACAGGCACAGACCACTGTGGCCCCTCAGCTCCACGGCTTTTGACAAGTTGTATAGAAGACACAGATATCAGGCAGCACTTGTGTGTTCCTACCTCTCTGAATAGTACCAGTAGTAACTCTGACAGCCCAAATTTGGCCGCCACTAACTAGAATCTATTTATCTTTAAGGCTGGGTGGGGGTGTAACTCACTGGTGATACACCTGGGTGAGGTCCTGAGTTCAGTCCTGGGCAACACACACACACACACACACACACACACACACTCACACTCACACACACATGCACGCACACAGATTTATTTTTTAAAACTTTAGAAAATGAGATTTACATTTTCAAAACTAAAAAACATTTTTTATAACTGAGGTGATATAGATATAATTCTCATTTAAATTAAGGGGAAGAATCTCACTGCAGGAAAATTATGCTGCTTCTATATAGATCTTTTCCAGATAAACACTTTTGCTGATAGTCTGGAGAGATAGCTCAGCGGCACAAGTGCCTGCCCGGCAAGAGCAACCTCCGAGCATGACCCCCGGTCCTCGTGCAGAGCCGGCCCCTGACCCCCGTGGTGGGGCTAGCCTATAATTACAGCGCCAAGGAGGCTGACACAGGAGACTCACTACGAGCCTGAACTGGGTAGTGAGACCCTGTATCAAAATAAAATAAAATAAATAATTTTTAAAAACTTTTGCTAAATGAACATTATTTAATATTTTCCCAAAGATCAAGACACGTAGAAAAGAAGAAAACAAGGGGGAAAAAAGTGTTCTACAACCCTTAAATAAAGGAACTCTGTCTTCAGAATAGAAAGTAAATGTTTTCGTGTTTTGGTTTTTCGAGACAAGGTCTTGCTGTGCAGTTCAGGCTGGCCTCCAGCGGCAGCAAGCCTCCTGCCTCAGCCTCCTGAACGCTGGGACCACGCGGGGCTCCACCACGCCCGGCTCCCTGACCTGGTTTGCCGAGACTGCTTCCCCAGCACCTCGGCTGCGTGCATTCGGCTTTCATCATTTCTACAGAAGGCGAAGCGGGGCGAGTCCCACCCGCGGGCTTGGCATCACCGCGCCCCGCGCTGCGCTCCTCGGAGCCCGGCGTTCCTACCTTCCGACCTCTCACCCGGACACAGACACGAACGATGTCATCCGTGTCACTAGCGCTGCAGCTCCCACAGGCTCGGGTCCTGCTCTGAGCAGACACGGTGCCTGCTCCCAGGGGGTCAGGGTACAGTATGCTAATGAGCCCTGGCCGCGGGCCAATCAGAACCCGCACGCGCCAGGGGTGTGGTCTGTAGGTGCGCCTGGGCACGCCCCGGGGTGCGCTCCTGGAGGGTGCGAGCTGCCCGCGCAGGACGCCCACCGGCTGCACCAGGGCAGCCTGGGCAGCGGAGGCTGTCCTCGCACCCGAGGGAGAGAGGGGCGGCAGGGTGGGACACGCCTGGAATGCTGGCTCCTAGGAGGCTGAAGCAAGGGACTGCAAGTTCCAGCCCAGCCTGGACAACCTGGTGGGACTCTGTCCACAGTAAAAAGGGAAGGCCGAGGGTGCGGCCAGTACCCCGGGGGCCAGTCCCCAGGCTCCCGCAAGACAGAATGGGGTGGAGCGATTCCGGTGGTACAGACCACTGGAACAAATTTCAGAGTCACCCTATAACCACAAGCACCAGGATGCCGCACGATGGACGGTGACGACCTGGGAATTCCAAGGCTTCATTCGCCAAGCCGCTCGGGCTGACTTCTCGGGGCCCCCAGTCCAGCTCCTCCTTCTAGAGACACCTCCTCAGTGCCACACGCCAGCTCAGCTCCTCGGCTACGTTCTTTGTTGTAGCCGGCTAGGATCTGGGAGAATTCAGAAATTCAGTCCAAATCACCTCTGAGCCCACGCCTGTAACTGCAGCGCGAGAGAGGCTGACGCAGCAGGATTGCAAGCTCTAGGCCAGCCTGGCTACCGAGAGTTCACGGCCAGCCTTGACTATAGAGAGAGATCCTGTGACAAGAAGAAACGAAACAAAGCTCGGTGTAGAGGAAAAGATGCTCCGGAATCCCCCTTCTCAAGGGCCAGGCGCGGCCCAGAAGCTGTCTAAGGTGGAGGAGGGAGAGACAGCAAGGAAGCAGCTCGCCAAAGGGATGCGAAGTTTTTGAGAGCAATTGGATAGCTGCTGTCCAGGAGGCCAAGAGGCTGCGGTTAGGGGGTGACATCCGAGGTCATTACCAGGAGCCAGACGAGTTTTAGGCTGTTTCAGAACTGTAACTCCTAATTTTATACTGTCTGGTATCACTTAGGACTAAGGGGTTTTGGTTAATTCAAAATAAATTCATGGCTTCTGTAGAGTTTGTGCTGTTGCCTCCCAGATTCCCTCCATGAACATCTCAGTCCCGGGCTTTCAGAGTGTTGCCTTCCCGCCACGGGGTTTGCGGGCCGGAGCCCGAGGGCGGGCGCAATGCTTCTCCGCGGGCTCAGCAGGTCCATGCCCTGGCTTGCCGGCTGGAATGCCATTCCTTGGTGATGGTTTGTCATTGTTTCTCCTTCCCACAGAAACCCACTCTGGGTGCCCAGCGAGCAGCTCTGCGTCCACACTTCCACTGAGCTGTGACAGTTGTCCCAGGCCGGGAGGACACTTCTGCTTTCTTTAAGCTGAGGTTCCGAGTCATCATCTGAAGTCTCCCATGGGTGGTCAGTGTTACGGATCATGATGACCACAGCAGCCACCCTCAATTAAATAGTGTCAGGTGCCACGCCAAGCACCTCCCTGCACTCCACTCGCACGTCCCCTCTGTCTCTTGGAGGCAAGAACCCCTTGAGGCAGACGGATGGAGGCCTCATTGCTGAGGACTGACCCCAGCCACGGTCGCTTGGTTTCTCCATGCTGAGACTCTGGGCCAGTCTATGGAGGTCGGTCCGTTTCTCTCCATCAACAGTGATGGTGCAGGCAGTGTCAGAAAGTTAAATCTTTGCCTAGATCTGTACCCTGCATAGAATCCCCAGACACTGGGTGCCATGTCCTAAGCACGGTGTCAACTGTCACCTGCCCCTTCCACGTTTCCACATGT